CCCGCCTGCATACCGCCTCCCATGGCCGGAACTGGTATTACGACACCTGCCGGGCCGGGGCTAGTAATTTAGCATGCTAATTTAGGTTTATATCTCGGCAGCACTATAACTTGTCAGTTTTTTAATTACATCATTGCACTTATTTCTTCTCATTCTTTTGTTGCGTGTAGCTCATTTTTTGGATATTTTTACCTCAATTATTACAGATGGCACCTTTAATCTTAAAGTTTTGGTGGTCAGATTCAGACTCAATGAAGAGCAGAGAGCACAGATATGATCAAGCTGAACAAGCAATCGTTATTATAGTTCAAAAGGGCAAACAGTTAAAGTTACGCTGCATTTGTCATCCATCACCGTGACATCAAGTGGACTTTTAAAGCTGAAATAATGAGTGGATTAAGCTTGGAATAACGAGAGAAATAACATGGATAGAACTTTCTTGTCGGTGGATTGTAATGCATCAGTCAGTCAGATAACGTCAGGAAGTGAGACGACGGCTACTAAAATTAGGTAAGACAAAAAGTTTTATTTTTCGCAACTCGTGTGAAATAATATGTGACAATCGGGTCCAGTCGGGTTTGTGTCTTCCTGCCGGGTTCGGGTCCAGTTTTCAAATAATAGACGGGTCCAGGTCGGGTCCGGGCAGTACGTTTATGGCATTTCTCGGGTCTGCACGGGTCCGGGTCCAACTTTTGAAATGAACGACGGGTCCGGGTCGGTTCGGTGTAGCACATTACGGGTCTCTTCCGGGTCGGGCATGAATTTTTGGACCCGTGAAGACCTCTAATTTAGAGCACTGGTAATCCGGATTTGCTAATCTTGAAAGTGTGTATCTGGATCAGGGTGATCCAGTCCAATGTTGCTTAACCGGCATAAAAGTAAGATTACCTGATCCTGGATAGGAAAAAATGGGATTTCCAAATCCAGATCATTTTGATCTAGATTAAATGTTTTGAACAACTGGCACCACTTTATCACTGTTGCAACACAAACTGAAGGTTTGATCCAGATTAAAACTAGGATTGGATTCCCTGATCTAATCTGATTTCAGATCCCTTCTTTCCCTTTTGAACAACCCATTTTCAAGATTTCAATCCGATAACCAAAATCCGATCAGCTTACCTTTGAACAACTGGCTTAGAGATGTTTCGTACCTTCATCTGTTGGATGTGAGTTGATATTTGAGCTCTGCACTGCCTCTGTTGTTGTTCCGTTGGGACTGACCTTCACTGTCGCCATCTGTGGCTGAAGAGTGGAACTGCAGGGGTTTCTGTGCATTCAACAAGTTCTGTTCAACATTGCTCTGTATTTTACAGTTACTGAAGCAAAAACCAACAAAAATAACCGTATGATGCATAATGGCTATTAATTAAACAAATCAAAAAGCAAAAACTCATGCAGATGATCACATGATGTCAGTTTTAAACGGGTCCTGAAGCAAGGCTGTTTGAGAACCAGTTTTTGGAGGACGTGATGGAAGATGATGATGATATCAATTTTTACATTTAAGGACATTTTATTCAATTCTGCACAGTGCTGTTAACAGCTTTATTAAAAGTGACTCTTTAATTAAAGTATGCCTGTGTCAGATTGGCTCAGTCCTCCATGTAGTGTGCACTAATGGCTGCCTATAAAGCTTCCAATGATGCCATTGAAGAACCATTGCTCTTTCCCCAAAGACTCTCTCAGTGAAGCGTTCTTATATTACGCCCCTTTCACCAGATGTAAAGTAAATCTATGGCATCCCCAGGATGTGTGTGTGTGATATTTCAGACCAAAATACCAGATCATTTATTATAGCTCGTCAAATTTGCCCCTTTTTGGCTGTGAGCAAAAACATGCCGGGTAAAGAGTGTCCTATTCTCTCTCTCTCTGGGTAATTACAGCTCTCCGTTTGGACCGGGTTGAGATTCAGAGCCGGGATAAGCCTGAAGAATGGAGAAGGAACAGATAATACGGCAGCTAAGCGCTCGAGAATAGAGTCTGATCACGACGCGAACACACACACACTTCTCCAGTTATCCTCCGCTTACACACCGGCTCGTGGGAACGTGATTGGTCAAACGCTCAGGAGGTCGTGTGCTAAACTAGCCTGAGGAACACCGAGACGGATGGATGATGGAGGAACTGAGCACTGACCCAGGAATGATCATGTCATATTTACAGATTAATGACATTTTGGCATGAAAATATTTAATAAATACATGTTTACGTTTTTTATTCTGCACTTGATATTTGGATCCAAAAATCCTGCAAGACTAGCACACAAACGCAGGTTATCAAAGGCAGCGGTGACAGAAACTGACAGTCCAAATGCCCGCGGGCAAACTCTACTATCCGCTTTAATACAAATCTTTCTGCGCATATGATTATGCTATAAACGTGTGGGCTGGAAATAAGGCCAAATTCTGCATCATTTTAAACCCATGACTATAATTATCCAGCCGAATAACGTTCTGTATTTTTACAGAGAAATAGTCACTTATTAACTTTCTTTCACTTTTCATTTATTTGCAAAAGTTAACTTTCATGTTAAAATAAAGTGCAATTATTTATCATTTAAAGCTATTTTAAGCCTTAAAGTTTAATTTTCAGTTGCCTTTCTGCCCAATCTTGTCTTTAAACTTCACAGGAGTGACTTTGCATCTGTAAAATAAGGGAAAGGATACACTGATTATTTTCTGCCAGGATAAAATCTTTTCGGTTTATGGACATTTCCTTTAAGCCTAAAACACAACGCAATGCATACATTAAAATACAGGTTAAACGTGAAATTCCTTCATTTCAACACTGTACATTTGGCCCTTTTTAACTGATTTTACGGACGCGATCTGCTAAAAAAGGGCAAGAAGCCCCAAAAACACAATAAAAGCTTGTTTGAGTGATTAGATCTTTTTTGGGATGTTTTTTTGCCCGTGAAGTACATCTGTTGGCTCATTTAGGAAGTGCCGTTAAAGATCTGAAACGTCTCGAGGAAGGAAGGGCAGCAAACGATGGAACATCTGATTAGTTTCACTCACATTCTCCTGCTGATGACGAGTGTTTCATCGAGTCCACACACACAGCTCAGTCTGAAGAGCTCGCGGACACGACCAGTGTGAACGCCTGTAGAGGAGTGTGTGTGTATATATATGTATATATATGTGTGTGTATATATGTGTATGTGTGTGTGTGTATGTATATATATATATATATATATATATATACACAAATACAACATACTATACATACATATTTCCTAGTCAACATTTAAAGTAATCAAAGTTATCCTATGAATTTTGAACAATACCCGTTCTGCTCTTAGGATAACTTTGATATATATATGTATATATAGTCATATATCAGTCAGACACGTGTGCACCCTCACTGGAAAGCATTTCATTCAATAATTATAATTCGTATTTTTTTGTACACCACTTAGTTTTTAAAGTTTTCTTTTCATTTGATTAAAAATATACATTTCAAGATGTTGCATCAAATTAAAAGGCTGCCGTGTTTAGCACCGGAAACACACAGAAACGAGCGGGAAATACGTCGACACGTCAGTGTTAGACTTAGCTGTCAATCATCTTCTCTGACACTCGCCATCATCTGGACTCAAAAGGCATGCATATCAGTCCGATAATAGTGCAGCATTAATCCCATTCGATAGGCGTAATTAAATCAGAAGCAGATTGGCCGAATAATGCAGAGGAAAGCGGAAGAGGATCGCCGTTTAGTCTTTAACACATGACTTTCTTCACCATAAATCTGCATGAATATTCCTTATCTGCATCGTCGTTTCTCCCTTAAACGTATGATTATTAATTGTGTTGCATCATCTCTGATAATAAGACTGACTGCATGTGTATAATAATGATGGAAACTAGCTTAAGCTAAATCTGGTGCAAAGCATCTTTAATTAATGTTTTTTTGCACATTGTCCCTGTTGAAATAAATAAGTAAAATGAATGAATAAGCATGGTTTGAGTTTCTATTTAGGCAAGTTAATAATAATAATAATAATAGGATACATTACTTGTTTAAAAATTCTGTTCAGTATTGCTGCAATAATATTAAGGGGGAAAAGGTCTAACAACAAGTTTAATTGCAAAGTCAGTTCCCACGAGACACTCTGCAATTAAATGATTTTCCCACTCGTTAAACGCGGTGATTTTAAGACAGAAGGTGCGGCAGAACTCGCAGAGATATATCTGTAATTGCGCAGTCTCATATTCCTCGAGCTAATGTTCGGGTCACGGAGGATCCTTTGAAGTCTGAGAGAAAGAAGAGGAGAAAGAAAAAGTGTAGTAGATAAACACCTCGTGCTTATTAATGCGCGTCGCTTTTACTTAAAATATTCAGATAAATTAAAGAATTAACTTCCTTTCATTTGGACCGTTCAGCCACACTTTGACAGATGATATTTTTATGATGTAATTGTGTGATATAACTATTGCACAATATGTAACGTTTTCTTCTTATTAAATAAAACATCAATTTCATTCCGTGAAAGGTCCGTGCGCCTTGATCAGGCTCATGCTACATAAATAAAAAGTGTTTTATTAGGTTATGTCTCTAAATGTGACTCCAATACTAAACCAAACCCAACCGTTTAAATGCAAATTAATCAAAAAGCGTATTTACACTAAATAAGCTCCAGAATCACCTGAGATGGTAACCATAGCAACAGTCCAGAGATTTGGGTCAGGAACATCATTGGACGGAACATTGACAAAATAAAAGAATTCTAAAAGTATATTTACAACAATAAAGATATGTATGCCATAAATACACCAGACCACAACAACTTTTGTTTTAAAAACGTACAATAATTTACAATTCGAACTGTGTGAAACAAACTTCAACAAACTACAGCATTAAAATGTCCTAAAATGTCCCAAGTCGACAGTCATTGTAAAGTTGTCGAGAACAGGCTGTTATTAAAGCGTGTTCTGGACACACACACACGACGCTGGATTGCTTTTCTCTCTGAGCAAAGTGAGTTTATCATTTCACTCTCGTCCTCGCGCTGGGTGGGATTGTGGAGCGCGAGGTCTGACAGATGCAGTGCGCATGCGCAGAAGCCCTTCTTCAGCACCTGCCAGTGCGCGCATTACTTCACATGTTGAACTCTCGGCTGACAATCACTCGAGTTAACATTTCATCATGAGGAGAACACACACCGAGCTCAGCTGAAGAAAACACACACACACACACACACACACACACACACACACCGAGCTCAGCTGAGGAGGAACACCGACTCTTCATTATCTCTTCTTCATCTGACACTTTTCGGGATTTATACCAACAATGCTTCTGAGGAGAACATTGCTTTCGTGAAAGTTAAAGCCGAATTACGCTTGACTTGGACTTGTTTGTCACGCGCGCCGGAATGAAGCACTGATCCTGACGGAACGCTTTTCCTTGTTATTTTAACTTCGCTGACTTTAATCTCCCGTGGGCAAGTGCCAGTTCCGTGGACTTTACCTGCACAGGTGCATTATGTCCAAGCCCATGGATCACGTCAAGCGCCCTATGAACGCGTTCATGGTGTGGTCCCGCGCGCAGAGACGGAAAATGGCCCAAGAAAACCCGAAAATGCACAACTCTGAGATCAGCAAGAGACTGGGCGCGGAGTGGAAACTCCTGACGGAAGCCGAGAAGCGGCCGTTCATCGACGAGGCGAAGCGGCTGCGCGCGATGCACATGAAGGAGCACCCCGACTACAAGTACAGACCCAGACGAAAGCCCAAGACTTTAATGAAGAAGGACAAGTTCGCGTTCCCGATGGCGTACAACCTGGGCGAGCACGAGGCGCTGAAGGTGAGCGCGCTCCCGGGCGGCGTGCCCGATTCTCTGATGAGCAACGCGGAGAAAGCGCGCGTGTTCTTCAACCCGGCCATGGCCAACCCGTACTCGTTCTTCGACCTCGGGTCCAAACTGCCCGAACTCTCGCCGCCGTTCTCCTACGCGTCTCCGCTGGGCTATCCGAGCACGGGCACGGCCTTCCCCGGGGTGCACGCGCACACACACTCACACACACACCCGTCACCGGGGAACCCGGGATACATGATGCCGTGCACCTGCTCCGCGTGGCCGCCCGCGGGGCTCCAGCCCCCGCTCGCCTATATACTGCTGCCCGGGCTGGGCAAGCCGGGCCTGGACCCGTACCCGCTATGAGCCCGGGACTCCGGGGGAAGTTTGAAATGTGAAGTGAACGAATGACTACATGCAATACACGCGGAGCACAGCTGAACATGTGATAAACGAGACATCACGTATGTGTGTGTGAGTGTGTGTATCATGACGAGAACGAGTGGCTCTTATCAATGTGAATAAATCTGTGCGAAAGTGCGACTCCGCGAGAGGCGAGAATAACCTGTTGACTGTAATGTGTGTGTAGCGCAGGCCGATGCTGTAACGGGGTTGCATTGCTATTCTGGAGGAGAAAAGTGCATTGTTTTATTTGGACTCAACCTAAAGAATTCCGTTTTTTTATTATTATTATTCAGTCATGTTGCTGTAAATGTGTACAGTTTTATTAAACCACGTCTAGTGCTCTACGCACCGGAGCTCTCCAACTAGAAATCAGATATTTTGAGTTTCGAATCTACTATTTCCATGGATGTATTATGTAATATTTATTGTTAATTCAGTCAGTGAAACTCTGTTGGCCGTGGGACACGCCGTGTTCCCTTGATATTTGCACAACGGGAGACAGGAGCACTTATAAGTGAAATTTAATGAAATGAAACACGTGAAATAATAAGATTTCTGATATTTCTAAGGGTTATTCTACATCACAGATCAATCATGCGTTCACGTCAAGAAGTCAGTCCGGTTTTTTACTAACTCGAAGTGAAATTGTATGTTATATATGTTTTGCATAATTCCACTTATATGTACTTAAAATGCCTATCGTTCATTTATTGAACAAGGGGGATATAATAAAGCGAATGCGAAAAGAAAAGAAATTGCTCTGTATAGTTCTTGAACAAGATTTGTATCTGAAAGCCTTTCCTCGGTCGGAGCAGGTGAAGTGTAAAGTTTCCTCTAAAGGACGCTTTTGTTCGGGCTTTGAATAGAATTACTCAGAATTCTAAAGCAAGTCTTTGTAATCAAGAGCCAAAATCCTGATTTATCACAACTCGCATCATGAATAGGAAGGAAGATAAAGCTGAAGAGTTTCGCTACTTTTAATCCATACAAGCAGAAAAACGAAACCGTTCAGACACTTAGTCCAGGCCCAAACAGGAAAAAATACATGGATTTTATGTAGTTAAATAGTAATTGTGACGCATCGAAACAAACAGACTTGTTAAAAAAAGACGAGTATAATGTCGCATATGCTCCGCGTCGGGTCCTCATAGATTACATTAAGAAGTTAATTCATATGCTCAGACCAATTATGCAAAACTAATTTGGACTGTCCAGGGATAATTACCTTCGCCACGGTTAATTGAATCTTTTGTTCGCGCGATCGCGGCTCTCCGGGAGCTTCCGGTCGGGCTTCGGAGGACTGACCCTCTGCTTATGAACCGGCTAATCTGTGTGATATTAATATGCAGACATTCTGTTTACAGGGGAACTGATCGATAACGAGCCGTTATTAATTTCAGAGCAGCTTCTGATGCACATTTTATTGTTTGCAACAGCAGTAAACTATTAACATTATGTAAATGCCTTTCCACTGAAATACGTCCTTAAACACTCATTTATTATAGTGTTTAAAAAAGTGGAAATGTTCAGTTAAATGATTTAATTCTTACAGTGAAATATAAAACATTTGGCATATCTGAAGGTGCCCGACTCGAGCATTTCCACGTTTTTTTTTTTTTTTCTCTGCGACATTAGAGTCGAAGGTCTCCGCTCCTCTAAATCTCCTCTTTCCTCTCTTTTCTCGGCTCCGCTTCTCCGGGAAAGAGGCCCGACTAAAAGAACTTTGTCTCCCTTCACAGGAGCGTTTAGACAGTCGAGGAGGTTTTGTCTGGGAACAAACCCTGAGTTGCGAGGCCTTTGTGAGCCTGTTGTTTGTTGAAGTGGAGCTCAGCAAAAAGCGCCGGCTTTCTCTCATTGTGCTTAAAGCAATCAGTGGTATTTGGAAAACTGTTAGCATTGTGCACTTCTTCTGTGTTCATTGTTCAGGATTTCTTTTCACAAGGTTTTTTTTTCTTCCCCCCTTTTTTCCGAGCGCTCCAGCTGGCCGAGTGAATGGCGCTCGATGTGAACGCGCTTTGTCCCGCGAGTCCTTCAAGTAGCCCACACTGAATAGACTGAGTTGACACTGGATGACAGTGAAACAACATAATAAAAAATACATGAGCGCATGAATGGAGCCGGCCGCATAAATAAATAAAATGGGTGACCAAAACTGGATAAACTGAATGACAAAATGGTGAAAGGGGAACAAAAAGATATTTAACACGGCAGATTAGCATTAGAAAGCCTTCGACAAAGCAGAACAATTGATGAATGCGTTTACAGGCCAAGAAAGGAATGAACTAAATGGCTTTTGAATAGATATATGCTTCTTGTTTCTGGAGAGCAGATCCAGTGGGAAAGGTAGAGGACAGCTTCTGCCGACTGGAGGAATGTTTGCAGACGCAAAGGTCACGAGTGTAACCGGGGTAAGTGTAGAAATGTGTAGAAATATTCAGCTTTTGCGGGTTAATACTCAAGTGTTCCTCGTCCGGGTCTGTCCAGCGTTATTAAAGCGAGCTTCACTGGTTTGGTCAGAAACACAGTATTAGAGAGACGGGATTTGTCGGTGTGTTTCACAGAACAGCGATGGTATCGGGAGACACGAGGAAAGCCACGGTCATCCTTTGAGGAACTCAACACGGGCGATTGCTCTTAAAGCGCTCATTGATTTTTAGAGATTTGATCCTTTTCAGCCTCAATAAACACTCCAGCCGTGATAATAGGAGTTTCCAAAAATCGTCCGACACACACAGATCAGTTTGATCATGGTGTGTGTGTGTGTGTGTGTGTGAGAGAGAGAGATTCAGCGACTCGAGGAGCCGAGGCCTGAGACGGACAGACATCACCCGACGGCGAACCAGCAGCCTAAGATCACGCAAATATCTACATCGGATTAAATTTATCAAATATTTGCTGGCAAACATTAACTCAAGAACAACATCCTTCTGTCCTCACCGCACAATATTATACAGAAATGAAGACGCCTCCATGTTCAGAAATCAGCGTTATTTTAAAATACTGATCGCTTTAAACTAGACAACTGAAGACATAATGACAGATAGTGCCATTATTCTCATCAACTCAGTTCAGGGACGATTCAGTAAAACTCATAACAATAATGAACAACAAAGTTTATCATTTGATGAAACTGATGTGAACTCGAGACAAAACTGTGAAATAAACTCCAGGTGTATCGGACGGGAAATAATATAATAAATCTTATTGCCTATTGAACAAATAATAACAAAAAAATCCTTTATAATGGAATGTAAAAATAAGAGAACGACTTTTTAGATGTTCAATTGTGCCTGAATGACAGATCCCGGATGGACTCGAGTTCTGCTCGATAACTCGGATCTCCGGAACCGGTGATGATGTAAGACCCTGTCACTTCCCTGAGAGAGAGAGAGTTTACCGCCTCTGACCCAGGCTCACTCCACCAGCTCATTTAGGGCCAATTAAAGTGTGAACGAGTGTGTCCTGCAGGCCTCGTGTGTGTGTGTGTGTGTGTGTGTGTGTTTATGGCCCGACGGACTGCATTACCTGTAATCTCAGACACATTTCCTTCCTCCGGTTTGAGGGCAGAAACCCTGAATGATCCCGCTGGAGTGAGCCGCACATCTGGACGTGTCGAATCGCAGCTCCACAACTGTGTGTGTGTGTGTGTGTGTGTGTGTGTCGCTCAGCCCTCGGTCACGAGCCCGAATCACAGATGCGCTCGCAGAAACACTTCTGAGAACACTTTCAACAGCAAGTGTGTGTTCAGGTATTGAACAGGATAATCCACGGGCAGCCGCAGAAACACTAACGGGACACACACACACACACACACACTCTACTGGGAAGCAGTGCATTGTGGGACGCTCTAGCCTACACATACTGGTGCTTTTAAAAATCAAAAATGACCAATTGATAAACACATCAATATAATAACAGCATGCCCATACTCATCGTCAGGCGTGAGATTCATTAAAACAATAAATATTAATATTTACACGGCTCTATAGAACTCTTGAATGATTGCAGAATAATGTCATGTTTAAAATGATCTGTTTAATTAATATAATCAATTTAAAATAACAATGAATGAATTAAAACTAAATGCTTCTGTAAATGAAGCGTCTTTAAAGATGAATCTAAGATGCTGAGTTCAGGAGGATCAGGCCTTAAACAACTCAAACGCCTTGATTTTAAAGATAGTATATCGAAGTATTACTGACAAAAATCAATCATCTCGATCTTCAACTTCTCAGGAAAACTGCAGAATATTTGCAGTATGTTGACACTATATTACGTTTACATTATTTACACAATAAAGGCTTTTTGAAAAAGCATCTTTTCACATGTTTATTACACAGATCCTCCGTGCGAGAGACTCGAGGTCTTTCCAAACGAGTGTGTAATATTGGGGAACACGTGACGGGTTAGTTCTGCTGGCGGAGATCAGATGGAGAATCAGACAAATACAAATAATTCTATTTGTTCTGTTCCGAATTGTAAAGTTCTGGCCCGAGCTAGAAAGAGTCCGATGCGCACCTGCTGTCGTGGAGAAGATTCCCATAATGATCCCGCAGGCCTTCATCATCATCATCATCATCATAACACTGATTATTATTGTGGGTGCAAAAAATCCTCACTGGCTTCAATTTGTACGGCTTCATTTATTCATATTTCTACAGAATTATTGAACACAGCCTGCTCTGAATCCCACATATCATCACTTACATACGGATAGAAACGTGGATTTGCCCTACAGCATTTCTTAATGCTAATCTCTGACGGCACACACAATATATATATATATATATATATATACACAATATATATATATATATGTGTGTGTGTGTGTGTGTGTGTGTGTGCGCTTAATAATCTATATTTCAGCAATATGGCCAGCAAAGCCGAATTTAGTCACATCGAAAATGTGTCGCATGATCCTATCCTAGTATATCATGTCTAATCCTATTCAATCATATCATATATATTATATAATTTATTCTATCATATAATATCCAATTCTATTCTATATTATCCCATGTTATTCTTCTATTATAGTGTCCATCATTTTCTTCAATTCTATTCTGTTTTTTCAAATATTCTACTCTAACATATCATCAGACCATATCCTATTCTATTCTATCAGATCATGTCATATTCTTCTATTCTATTCTATTCTATTCTATTCTATTCTATTCTATTCTATTCTATTCTATTCTGCTGGTCTGTGACCCAAAACTGCTTATTATCACAAATAATAAAAGGTAATCACACACTTTATAAATAAGCAAGCAGGGTGGAAAATACTTCCAGTTGTGTCCGTCATATATATATATATATATATATATTTAGCCGAGTGCTTGGAACCAATTCGCCACTGGATCAATATATTTGATAATTTTTTTAATTATGTGAAAATCTACATATATACCATTTAATAAAATAATATGCATCTCATATATTTAACCTCTAGGGTAATTGAGCTTGCGGTCTCTTAAACACTCTAGTAAATGTCATTCTCCTGCAGATGTGCAACACTGGCACACACTCCAGTAACACACTTAATCTATTAGGAACGCTGAATAATGTCCATACTGGGAATCACAACACACACACACACACACACACACACGCACACACGTGAGGATAATCGCAGAAATACCAGAAACAATGATTAAAAACACACTTCAGTCCAGCGCCGGCGTATTGATTGACAGAGGAACTGCAGGTTATTAATATGAGGATCATAGGAATCTCTCAACATCGTTTCATAATTACAGTGTGTGTGTGTGTGTGTGTGTGTGTGTGTTTCCACACAGAAGATCACGAACCTGTTTGCTTTTCTCGACT